TGGTGGCTCTGGAGGAAGACACTGGTGTCAGGCCATGTCACCTCTGCAGAGCCTCCAGAAGCCAGTCTGGCACCTTGGATATCTGCCAGCCCCACTGAAGGAGGGAAGGAACCATCCCACCATTTGTTTTACACAAACATGGCAATGTTTGCTGCATGGTTTTGAGCAAAGCCATCCATCCTGAATCAGGGCTGAGCTTAGGCAGATCTGATCATTGTTGGTATTTTCACGTAGGTGCTGTGTGAGTTCTTTCTCCTGCAGCTCACAGCCCCTATGGAATTGCTTTTGGAGGTGTGCCAGCACTCCTGGGCAGTCTGGTGATATTTATCACTTCCAGGCAGATCTGAGCCCAGAGCTGTAATTCCTTCAGAAGCTTTGCCCCCCTGCCAAGCAATCTGCATGGAAAAGCAGCACTCGCTGTGTTGGAAACAGGAGTGTGGATACAGGGTGCTGGTTCCAGCTAAAGAACCAGCAGGTTCCTTAGGATGAGAGGAGGTGGAAAAGGCATCTTACAGTATGGCCTTGAAGGGATCTTCTGTGGGATCTGAGAATAGCACCCTGGAGCCACATCAAAGCACTGTCACTTCCCCAGGTCCTCCAGCATGGTGACAGAGTCCATGTGAGCTGTGTTGTGCTCTCATAGCAGGTGAGTGTCTGCCGTGCTCTCAGTGCCGTGCAATGGAACTTCAGGAGGATCACCTTTATTCGCTGAAATCTGTGCTGGCCATTTCTCTCATACAGTCATAACATTTGCAATCTCCTGCTTCTACCAGCAAATTATCCTGCTACCCAGGAAATCTTTGTCCCTCTCCTGTTCTGCTCACTGAGTAAAAAGCATCACCACTTCCATCAGGAGCCTAAGCCTCAGCTCTCTGAGTTTTCAGGAGGCTGAAGGCAGAAGAGAGAACAGTTGGCAAATGGATAGTAAAAAATAGATCTGATAAAATAATTGAGGGGTTCAGCAAGTGGGACTGACAACAGAAGGGAAAGCAGCTGAAGAGAGGAAAGGATTTCAAAGTAGCAGTGTCACTGGACGATGAAGTGGTGGCAGAGTGGAAGGCAGGCAAATGCTGGCCAACAGGAAGGTGCCTGTGGCACTTGGCCCTTTTCATATAGGCACAAAACCCACTTTGGGATCTTGTGGGAGCTCTGAATGGTTTAAGAGTCTTCTTTCAGCACATGTGCTATGTGAATTGCTGGAAGATCCTGAAGCAGTGCTGCCCACTGGATTTGGAAGATGATGTTTCCATGGACAGTGTTTCACTGCCTTTCCCCAGTTTGTGCTCCCCAAAACCACTCTGAGAACCAGACTAACTGTTAAAGCTAATGTGAGCTTTGCTTTGGAGCCACAATGTGGGCAAACACCCACATAAAGGCAGCCACTGAACACAGGGCATTGATGCCTCTTGCACATCTTGCCTTTTTTAGAGGTGGACTACAGCTCCCATATCTCTCACACCTGAGACAAGAGAAGGACATAAAGTACATGTTCCACCTCCTACACAGGGTGTCTCTTTCTTTATCACTTCTGCACTGACAGCCCATCAGTGAAGGGGTCCTGTGGGATGGATTGTCTGTGGTCAGCACATAAGGCAGGTGGTCCAATGCCTTTATGGAGTGGAGTGCAGAGGGGATTAATTCTTCCCCTGCTCAGGAGAGCTGACAGATGTGTTGTGTGCACGAAAGAGAGACAAGGGAGAGCTGCCATCTGCTGTTGGAAAAATCCTGGTTCGTCTTTTAGCCCAGGCACTGCTAAGAGCTGCAGGTGGCTCCTTGGTGCCAGCAGCTCCCACCTCACTGGGAGAGCACACAGAGCAGTATTCCACAGTGGAAACGGGAATCTGCACTGGGTAGGGGAAAGGTTTGCCCTGAAGTTCTTCTCCTCTCTTCTCATGTGTAAATCAGGAAGAAGAGGATGGATTTACCGACCTTACCAACCATCCATGCCAGCAGCAAAGCGAAGAGGGAAGAAGGTATGGCAAACCCACTGTGCCTCCAGGAGGGAATTCAGTGGAAAAATCAATGGAAAAATCAAGCCCATCTTCAAACGTAAGGCACAGATAGTCAGATAGATCAGCATGTAGACCTGATCTTTGCAGTGGTTTTTCAAAAAGCTGAGCATTCTGTATTCATGGAAATGAAAAAATTGATGACGTCCTACATTCTAAACTCTGGGTACTCAGGATAAAAAAACCAATCACTAACTGAAAAGGCAGCTGATTTATTGAAATGCCATTCTGAGTCATTCAAAATTATTTATTTGCTTCTGAAAACATGTTTACTTCTATTTTCTAAGTGACATTTTACATCATTTCAGCTAAATGTATTATTTTTTACGAGAAAAGACATCCAAGTATTTAATACAAATTAAAGAAAATCCTTCAGTCCTTTAAATAGCAAGTTAATGTTGTTTAAAACTTCAATTAAGTAAACCAAAACAAATCTGAAAATTCTGCATACAAAGGTATCTCTTGCTTGTATTTTTTTCTAGAAGAGAAAATGAACGAAGGAAAAAGCAATCCATAAAAAAACAATCCTGGTCATTTACAAGGGAACCACACAATTCAATAATCCAGGAACAGGTCTTTCATAAGCAAACACAAATTTTTAATACAGCAGCATGGTGCTGATTTGACCTGAAAGTAAGCACTTAAGTAAGCAGTTATTATGTTGAATTTTTTCACTGCAAATTGGTATTTTTCAAAAGGATAAAAAGAAAAATAAAAATATTCTAGAGTATGTGTACTAAACTCTAATGAATTTCCAGCAGGAATGCTGAGAGGAGCAGTATGAATAGTTAAAGATGAGTGTTCAGTCAGTTCAGTTGCTTGCATTGGTGAATTTTTGAGTAATGATGTTCTGCTCTGGTAGATGCATACGTGTGTGTCTAAATATAAGCTTATAGTCCATGTCTGAAGCTTTTGACCTCTTTACCTTTTAAATAAGGACTGAGTTATTAAAAAACAAAAACAAAACCAAAAACCAAACCAAAACCCATGGTGATAGTTCAAAAAGAAAATATTGATTTACTGCAGTAATTATGCACAAGGCCTGGTCTGACAGAACTGTAAAACTCTTTTTTTCCCCCAAACAGATAACAGGAATTTTATCCCACTGGACTTCAGAGGGGAAAATTCTTAATCCAACCGTGTTGATGCTTCTAACTTAACCCAGTGTCATTTAAGGCAGGAGCTGGTGATCCCAGCAGCAGCTGCCACACACTCAGCTGAGTCCAGAGGACTGAATTCAGACGAGGGCAGGTGAAATCCCCTTTGCAGGGCAGCTGTGCTTCACACCGACCCCTTCTGAAGTGAAAACCTTCCCAAACCACACCAGCGCGCGTTTTCCTTGTGTTTGTGTGGGTTTCCAGCAGCATTTGCCTGAGAGCAGAAGGCAGCAGCGGCTACACCCAGCAGAGGCTGCAGCCAGTTGTTGCACTGCAGGGACCCAGGGCTGGCAACTGAGATTTCCCAGGGTGGGTGATGAGGTGTGCTGGGGACACGCAGACAGCAGCGTTCACAGGGTTTCTGATGCTGCTCTGGGAAGAAGGCGCTGGAACTTCGATCTGTTACCACACTCGGGTGTCAGAGGCCTGTGGCAGCTTCTGAAGATCCCCAGCTCTAGCACAGCTCCCAGCTCTGCTGCAGGGACACCCCGCACTCCGCAGGGTTTGCAGAACCCACGCAGCCCTGCTAGAGGAGAGGATTCCCCCAGCCTTTGCGCCGCCTGCTCCTTCGAGAAGACAAAGGTGAAAGCGTAAAGCCGAGCAAAACCATCTCAGTCACTGCAAAAAAATGTTGGTCTCGCTGGAAAGCTGAAGAGAGCGCTGGAAGCTCTGCGGTCCCCGCGGCGCCCTCGGCCGGGCCAGGCGCTCCGGGCTGGGCCAGCTCCCGAGAGCTGCCACGGGATGGCCACGCAGGGCAGGAAACCGCTCCGAAGCAGAAAGAAAACAAATTAAAACAAACCTTTCAGACAGTTGCCAATGAAGTTTCTTTGGCTCTGCGTCTGGGCATGGCTCCCAAATCCAGCCTCTTGCCCTCGGATAAAGCCTGGAATGAGAGTCAGATGCGTGGGAGGAGTGCATGTGTCTGTGTCTGGGCTGGAAAACATATGTACTGTAGTGCCTAGGAAAAGCTTTTTACTTTGGGCCTTGCTCCAGAAAAACTCTTTCCTTGCTTTTACAACTGTCCCCTGTTCCTTGGGACTACCCAGATGTTTAACCCAGCCTGAGGACAGGGAGCTGAGCTCAGGAGTTTTCTCGGTGTCATTCCCTCTGACCCCCAGGGAGCAGCCAGCCAGGGGCACGCAGCCTCCTCCCACCTCTTTTCCTCACCAGGTGGGTGGGATGGGATGGGATGGGATGGGATGGGATGGGATGGTCACCCGGGCCGTGGGGTGGCCTGTGTGCAGCACTGGACTCACAGCTTCTGGCTTTCCCTGTCGGGAGGGGATCCAGCCTCAGCCTCAGCAGAGAGAGCCAAATATCTTGGGGGGGTGGGGGGCAAAAGAAGAGAGGGAGGAAGAGGATTGTTGTTGTTCTGTTCCTACTGCTTGATCCTGAGGTTCTGTTAATGGGTGGACTGATTGTCAGTTTTTTAAAAGTCCATATCCTGGAACTTTGCAACTATGTGGGAATTTTAGCTAGTCTCAAATGAAAGGCAAACAGCAACCCCCACCATCAAACCGTGCCTCCTTAGCCTGCCAGGCCGCAGCAAGGAGCTGGGGGAGGAAAAAAAGAGCGAGTACACTTTTCTTTTTCACATCACAATTTGAACCCCAGCCTGTTCCCGGCGGGCAGGGCGGCTGTAACCCGAGGGATGCGGGTGCCAGCGAGGCCCGGGGAAGCGGAGCGAGGGCGCACAGCGGGCGCTGAGGATGCGCTGAGCCTCCCTGCGCTCCGCGGGGCGGAGGGACCGAGCGCTCGGCTGTCCCCGGGCGGTGCCGGCCCCGCCGCCCGCCCCGGCCCGCCCCGCACACCTCGGCCCGCCCCTGGCGACCTGCGGGCGGCGGTGAGGCCGCTCCGGTGGGGCTGCTGCGGTGGGGCTGCTGCGGTGGGGCTGCTCCCTGCCCGCACAGGTGACACCGCTCCGGTGACACCGCTCCGGTGACACCGCTCCGGTGACAGCGCGGGCGGAGCAGCCGCCGCCCCGGCGAAGCGCCCGCGGCTCCGGACGCGCGTGCCCCGCCCTGTCCCTCCCCGCGGACTCCAGCGTGTCCCTGGGGACAGGCGAGGGACCTGCCCTGCTCTGTGCCCGGCCCGCCTGCGGAGGAAACCCGGGGGAAAAACCCGCACATTTGGGTCTGTTGAGCACCGCGGCAGGTCGGTGAGAGGCGCGTTTAGTGAGTGCTTTTTAACCCGCCCCCCAAAACAGCTCGGGAAAATGCTTGAGGAGATGGGGTTAATCTAACGCGACCAGTGCAGGACGGTCTGTATCGTTTACAGATGCCAAAATGAATTTATTAGATCTGCCTTAGTTACCTACATAGCTGCAAATACTGTATTTTTACAAGATTCTAGTAGTTGGGATGGGGCAGCCCGTGCCGGCAGAAATAGCACTATTTGAGTTTGCATTATTTGAGTTTGCACGAGGTGGATGAAGCAGTCACAGAAAATACTTTTAAAGTGTTGGATGTTGACTGTAGTTATTTTAGTTTGTCTCCAGTGTACTCAGTCAATACTGAGTTAATAATCCAGCAACTTCTGTTATGTATTTGCTGAGTATTGTTCACTAATTTAATGGCTTTCTTGTGGTGTGGGCAGATAGTTCAGTGTAAATTTTAAATAATTTTGCCTACAGCAATTTTCAGTGGATAATGCTGGAATGTGTTTATTTTAACCCAGGCATTCTTTCTCCTACCTTATCAGCTATCTTTATTCCTACACAGGCCTTATCACAGAGGTATTTATTTATAATCCTTTCTTTGCAGGCTTAATACTCTACACAGAAAGTGAGGCCGAATAACGTGCACATGCCGAGTACTGGAGGAGAGGCTGAAGGACATCCTGTTTTGTTTCAGCAGTGTTGTTATTCTTTGGGGTGAAATGAAGAGTTTGATTTTGTTTTGGAAACACTCATATTTCTGATGCAACTGAACTTCCGTAACCTTTTTGCAGTACAGATTTCAAGAAATAATTTTTTTCTTCTTGAACAAAGATGCAGAACTTGTCGGTGGTAGAAAGTCTTGGTGGTACGGACATACCACACTGTGAGCTTCCAAAAGACCTGGCAGCTGAGGCAGGTGGCGTGTCTCTCCATGAAAGTGGCTGTAACTGGAATGGAAGAACAAGTAGAGAAGAAATTGTTAATCTTGAAGCAATGCAGCAAAGCCTCCCTGTAACGAACAGCGAAGGGAGAAGTCGTGAGGAGTTTTCTGAGAGCAGCTTTAGTACCTCAGAACCCAGTGGCTCCTGGGGTGATTTTGAAGGCTTCAGGGAGCCCTTAGACAAACCAGAGAGATTCAGTGATAACCTTGAGGTTTTGGTGAAGTCAGCAGGAGCCAGGGGAGCCGATCCGGACCTCAGCGTTTCTGCTGCTCACCTGAGCGCTGAGCCATCTCTGTGCCATGGGATGCAGCAGGCTCCGGGCTCGCGGGGTGAGGTACGTGTCCACAGCACACCCAGGACCTGAAATGTTTGTGTTACTGCTCCCTGCACCTCCGGGTCCTCATCTGTCTTCTCTGCAGAGGGTAATCTGCACAAGGAGAAAAGCTGTCCTGCTACTTCGCAGCTACCTCAAGTGGAACGAAAGCAACTTCTTTGCAGTTGTTTGACAAATCCTTAAGCTGTGCTGCTGGAGAGCTTTAAAGAATGTAATGCGCTATTTTGCTTCTAGGCACTAGGAATAAGTAGGCACATAGGCAAGTAAGCACGTAGGCACCATGAACCTTGCCCTGAAGGACGTGCAGTGTAAAATTTAGACAAGAAAGAGCATAAGAAACAACAATTCGGGAAGGTGGGTGACAAAAGCAGGGTGGACAGAAATTCTGTGAGTTGCCTGCAAACTTATTGAAGTAATGAAGAAATTACTTCAATAACCCAAAATAACTTCAAAATATTTCAAAATAACTTCAAAAACCCACATACCATTGAGTTAGAAATTGGCAAAACCAATGTATTTTTGTTATTTAGTATACTCTCTGAATAATATCAACAGTTTTTCTGGAATTTTAGTCTGATGGTACCACACAAGACATTAATAGAAATAACATAATTCATATTTTAGCATAGGATATAACATTCGCTCTTACCTGTTAGAGCTAAAATTCTGAGTAATTAATGCAATGAATTTTTTTTTAGCACACACACACACACAAAAAAAAAAGGTTCAGGTAAAGGGTTATATATTGTTGGGATAAATGTGTTTCCATGTGGACCAAACATGCATCAGCAAAGGGAAGGAAAGTAACACAAGGGCAGAAAGAACATAGAAATACAGAACAAAATTCCCTTGTTCTTACTACTTTCATCCTAAATGACAACATTTGAAAAGAGAGAACAATCAGCTAAGACTTCCATGGGGTTAATCTGTAGCAGAAATAACTTACTGCTTGTAGTCTGTTGGGTGAGTTTTAGTGTGCGTAGGAGACTGAGACTTTCCTGGAGACAGGATTTCTTGCCCTTTGCCTAGGAATTTCTCTTGTTGCAAAAGTATTACTAGTAAAAGCAGAAAGATGCAGGTGGGAAAAGCTGCCCACACTGATTGAATGTAGATACACAAAATACCTGGTTATTGGTGTGCACAAACAGAGGATTCAAATGTTTTGTAATGCTGGAAGTGGCAGACAAGAAATCTTCTGTTGGAGAAAGAGAATGTTGTAATGACTGAAGCTGAAATGGAATATAGCAGGTTGCTTGGCTTCTTTCCAAAAGCAGTAGATCTTAATCTTACTGAAGCCTTTTCTTTATTTTGCATGTGTTAAAGGCAGGAGGAAATGTCCAGCATGAGTTAAATAAGTTAACCATGCTTAGAGTTTCAAGTTGTCTTTTCTCATCTCAAGGTACAGAAACAGCCACAGAGCTGCTGGATATTCCTTGGAGTGTAGAATATATGTGTAGCTGGTTCTTTATCCCTGTGCTTTTTGCATTGTTAGTTTGAGACCATAAAATCTTTGGACTGGGACTCTGGCTTCTGTATGATCAATAGAAAAAGGCCAGGTGGGTTGGAGGGGACCTCTTGAAATCATCTCAGGTCAGAGGTCTGACCTTCAGTATTTATTGCTTCAGTTAATTAAATGACGTCAGTTGGGATCAGAATCATGTGTTTTAAGATGGAAACAATCACTAATTTCCTTGCTGTAGCTGGGTATTTTGGCCAAAGGATTGAACACTTCGAGGATTTTTCATGTGCTCTTTAAACACTGGCCTTTGAGAGAGGGACTGGTGCATGTGTTTAAGCCATGGGGTATTTTGATATAATAGGATATAGAGGATTTATTCAGAAAATACTGATGTGAACTTTGTACATTGTTTTTTTTTTTATCATTAGTACAAAGCCACAAGATAAATGGAAATATACCCAAACTTTGTTTCAGAAACACTCACTGAAATAGACAGTAATAAAGGTAATAAAAACATCTCTTGATCTGTCTTGGCTCAACTAGAAGTCAGTGACTTGTATGTGTGTTGGAGCAGCACCAAGGCTCTAGGGAGAAGCTGCAATTGAGGCAGAGCTGTGCTTCCCTCGATGCACTCCCTGGGGCTGTAACTTCCCCCATCCCAAAGCCAAGAGCAGCTGCCTGGCTTTTCCTCTCATCCCACTTCACTTTGGTGCCTACCTGGAAGTTGGTTGTTTTTGTTTTTTTTTTTCCTTGACCATGTATGCTTTAGCCAGTGTTACTTCGCAGAGCTCTGCTTCTCGAGCATCCATCAGGATCCTCCATGTTGTATCCCTGTTGAAATAATTTACAACTTGATTGAAAGTATTGTGACACTTTGGGTAAGATTCAAAGGAATTTACCCAGGATTCTTTGAATGTCCCAGCAGTGAATCATTAGGACAATATTTTAGCAAGGCCTTACTTCAGGAGGGGGCAGCATGGGGCACAGATTCTGTTCCTTGAAGCACGGTCAGAAGAGCAGAACCCTTCTACCAGCTCTGTTGATTTTCCCACTTATCCTTACATTAAATACATACTCTCTCAGTATTCACCCTACCTGTCTGAGTTGTGTAATGAGACTATGGAAATATTTCAGCTGTTTGAATTACAATTAAATGAAACTATAAAAATATGGAGTATCCATGCTTAGGGTTTTCAGACTAAATTGTTGATTGCTGGGCAAAAACCCCAAACTGACTGGTTCCATTCTTGAGTTTTCACACAGCGTTGCTGCTCGTGCATCGCAGTCCCTGGGCAGGGTGGTGAAGTCAATTAATTTGCTTTTATTTGGAAAATTGCAGTCATTCCTTCCTTGAAGGAATAAAAGGATACAGCTTCTGAACCAGATGGCATGCCCCTAGGATAGGATGTAAATTATGCATGTTTGTCCTTGTGTATGTGTTTCTTACTTGTCAGATAACCCTGCTTACTAGAGGTTGCTTCCCCTAGGCCTGTCTGGATCCCTCCTGTGCTGTGGTCAGTCCTCCAAACCTGCTCATCACTGCTTCAGGAGGAGCAAGGATTTAAATCTGGCTCTGATTTTTTAACATAGGCTGGGCAAAGTTTTGTGCAAAGGCAAGGTTATAGAAACATCCTCACCCCAGCTTTTTTGCAGACTTGCACAGTGCAAGTATTTATTGGTACCTGGAGCATTTGGCAGGTGTGTTACATTGAATTAGCAGTGTTTGAACACTGAGTTAGCAAAACGAGCTCTTGAATTGATACATGAGATTTGACCTGGAGTGAAATAGCTGAGCAGAAGGAGGAGCCCCAAGTGTCAAATATGCGAGTCTGTGACTGAGAAGCTGGGAAGTTAAAGACTGAGGTTCACCAGAAACTCTGGGACTCTTGCTTCCTTTAATTCTAAGTACTCAAAATACTCAAAACACTGAAATATGAGCTCAGTCCCTCTGCTGTTAATATTAATATAAATATAAATTCTAAAAACAATAAGACAATCTCTAGAATTAATGTAGTCTTTGGACTAGGTCCTTCATGAATTAGGGGGTGGCTGGTATGATGTATGTAATAAAAATCTCTTTTTTTTCTAGGAAGACCACAGCTATGAGGAGATATTTAAGTTGGGCTTTCCAGAAGTCTTTGTACCACAGTCCAGAGAGTGCATAACAAGCTTAGAGCAAGTTCTTGAGGCAAAAAATGAAGATGTTTGGATTCCTGAACTTTTGAAGAATCAACTTTGGTAATGAGTTTAGATTAGCAGTTAAAAAAAAAAAGGAAAGAAAAAGTTCCTCATCAAGTACACAGTTTGTTTCATAATTTAGAAATCAGTGGTGCACTTAAAAACCTTTTTAGTACTATGCCTTTCAGTGTATAGATCTTACCAGTTTTGTAGCACATTGTTAAAGGAAATGGATGGTGTCTTAGCCATTGGAAAACAATGAAGGGAATATATCAAAATTACAAATTCCTGCTTAGGGTTTTTCCTGCTGTTGGTGTGCCTCCTTATGACTAAGCCTCTGGAATGCCAGCACCCAACAGGCAGCCTGTTCTTCCTGTTTGCTTGTCCTTCCTTTACAGCACATCCCACTTATTTCTTCATCATTGGAGGCTGCTGCTTCTACTAACATCTTGCTTTTTTTTTTCCTCCCCTCTCAGTTTTCCCCGTTGCTAACTTCTTCTCATGTTTAACCAGATGTGCTTCAGAATCTGTGGTGCATCTGGCTTCTTTCCTGGGCTCTGATAATAGCAATTAGTATCATTAACTAAGCTTTCTCTTGCAACAGCTGGAGCACTTCTAGCTCTGTTACATGTTTTTTAAGGATCAGCAGCTTCAGAGCAGCATTGTAGTTACTGAACAGCATTGCAGTTATTTTTTCATGACTTGGAGGCTTTGTGTCTAGAAAGCAGTGTCAGACCCTACTTGAGAAATGTCCTAAGACTCAGAAGAAATGTCGGTAAAACTTTTAATGTGGGTACCCTTTCAGCCGTGTTCCCTGCATAGGTGTTATATTTTAATCAGCATCAAACTTGTGGAGAAATGTAATTGTAAAGGGCACTGCACTATTACAGCAGAGTGCCAGGTAAAAACAAAAATTTCCTGATCTACTGTGACGAGTAACTAGGGTCAATGACAACTGCAAACTAAGTAAAGCCCAACTGAATTTTTCTGTGTGATCAGTGCAGTGTAAGAATCCAAAGTGCCACGTCAAGGGAGCTCCCTCCTTCTCCCTGTCTCAGCAGTGAGTGCCTTTGGCTTCTTTGGTGGGACAGGTGCTGCCGGGGTGAAGTGTGGCCGATGGGACGGAGAAAGACTTGAGAGACAGAAAAGGCAAAGTGCAGAGCTGACAGGGCTGAACTCTGCCCACGTTTCACAGAAGCAGCTGAACACTGCGAGCTGTTGGCTTGTAGCAGTCTGAGATGTGCTTCTGATGCCCTTCTTATCTGAGGAGCACACACACGCTTCTGCTGACCTACTGCTTCCACTAATTGTCATGCCAGCTCATTAGTGCATTGGGCTGGCAGCTTGGACACGTGTGAAAAGAGTTTTAAGACAAGTTGCTTGCTAGATGAAGGTTAGTGTACAGCTGTGTGTAGTGAAAATAATTGTTGCATATGTTCACTGGAAACCTCAAAGTGTGTTTTGTTTCCTAGCATGGATTCTGGAAACGTATGGAGAGCACTCAGAGACTTTGATAATACCCCCAGCTCAAGACATCCCTGGAGTAAATCTCATTGCCAGGAAAACCTCTGGAGTGTTCTCGGAGTAGATGCAAATCACAAGGTAATTGAACAATGGTTTTCCATTCTGCCAGCATAAACACTGGGTTGGGAATCTGATCTTCTGTAAGCTGCACATGCAGATGCATGAGGGATTAGACCTGGGTGAGTCACAAGGGTTTGTGTTTTTTAAACAGAGAGCTTTTTAAGACAATAGCTTAGTGTTTTCTCGTCTTCATGTGTAAGTAACTATGAACTTGTGCAGGATCACACTTTAATTGTCTTTACAGTGAAGTCTGCCTGACACAATTCCCTGTTGTTAGGTGGTACACCCAGCTTAGGTAGAGATGGAGAAGTAGCTGTCAGGTGGTAGAGATGGAGAAGCAGCTCCCTGGTGTGTGGGCAGTAGGATTGTTTACTTTTTTTGCTCAGAGTGCAGGAAAACTGTCAGCCTCTAATATCTGTATTCACTTTCTGTTAAGTGAAAATCAGATCTGAATCAGAGAGGCTGTTACAGTAATTACTGGATGATTTTACTGTGAAGAAACTGAAAGTGTGTTCAGCTTCCCCTTTCCTCACTTCATTCCTCTGTCTGTTTTTGTGAAGCTTGAGGGAGTGTATGTTTTAAATTGGATTGAAACCAAACCAGCAGTGTTGAAAGATCTCAAGTAGAAATGTCTCTGTTTAACAATCTCTTGTTTTGAGAAGGTACAGGTGTCGGGGATGGTTTAGAATTCAGTTATTTAGCTGGGATTAATTAGTCACATGTAATTTTCAGAAGTAACTATTTCAATTTGATTATTTGAATGCTGAAGCATGGGATTGGCAAGGTAATGATTTTATGGGCATATTTGACTTTTCATGCAAGTTATATGCAAACAGAAGGATGGTGCTGAAGGTAGAAACCTGTTTTGCACTTGAAAAAGTCACTTTGTAGAACTGTAATTTAACAGAGAGAAAACTGGAGACATTTCTCTAATACAGCTAAACTCCCATTCTGTTTCTTTCTTGCCCCCCAGCATTAAATCAATGCCCAGGCAGCTTAAACTTACATCATTACTTCTCATCTATTACTGGAAAACTGTATTGCTTTTAACAGTACTGATTAAGAGGCATTTCTCAGCAATGCTTTGGTGCTAATTAAGGCTAATACTAATTGGAAATGGCTTTGTTATTAATTGAAGCCACAGATCCATGTGTGGTAGGTGATGCCTTGAGGAGCTACCTGGAACAGAGGCTAGGCAGAGTTAGAGAATAAAGCAGGTATTTATTCAAGTGCTTTCAAAGATGCTCCTTGGGCAGTGCAAAGCCTTGCAGAGGCTGCACCCAAGATGGACAGCAGTCAGCAATTTTCTCAGATGGATATAAGCTTGGTCTGTTTGCATATCAGAGGTTAGTTGTTCAATTTTACCGTCAGGTATTGAAGTCACATTCCCCCAGTTTGCTTCTCTCCCCAGTTTACTTTTGTTTGTACTTTTTGGGCCTGAGGCTGTGTTGATGACCTCGGTTCTCAGGCCTAAAAGGATTGTTTAGTCTGACCAAAATGTGAAGAAAGCTAACTAGCATTCTATACAGACTTCAGAGTTATACACTAATGCAGGACAGAATCTGAAAAATACAAAAGGTGAAACGTAAGGCATCATTTGTTGAACTGGTCCTGGCATAAAATTGTTTTAATGCAAAGGGGGACACATGATAAAATGCAGCTTCAGAAAGTAAAATTTAGTGGTTGTTGTTTGAGGGAAACTTCTCTTTACGTTGTATGCATCGAAATCAGAGAGAAATGCATAAATAAATTCATAAATAAAAGGTAAATTATGTTTTATAGGACATTTCAGAGAACCAGGCTGATATTTTTGAGGAATCAAATGTCAAAGATAATGAGGACTTTAGATTTGATGGATTCAGTGTTAATGACTGCAAAGCATTGATCCAGACCAAGGTAAGGATTACTCTGGAAGTGAGACCTCCAGAGAACCATGGAGTGTATTTCACGTTCCTCCCTGCTGTTCCAGCACGTGTTCTCATGCAATGGCTTGGTGCTGTACAGCTTTTGGCTGTGGAGTTGGTTTTTGCTCTTTGGAACCTCTCTGACTGCTCCGGAAAAGATACCTTGGCACTTGTTTGTTTCTTGTTGTAGCAATGCAAGCTGGAAGGAAAATTGTGTCATTCTCCATTGCTGTAAAACACCTCAGTCACCTCGCTCTGTTTTAGCAAGGTATTTTGGAGGAGTGTGCTTAACCCGAGGTCCCTTCCTCAGTGGAGAATAAAACTGAGCAGCTGTTGTCACTGTGAAGACAGATAGTTTGGGACATACTTTTCACTGCTCTGTTTTATTCTATTTACTGCCTTGGACAGCCAAGGTGTGTAACTGGTCTGGGAACCTTGTACTTAGGAGATGATGGGATGGAGAATTCAGAAATGAAACTTAAAAGGACTGTACAACTCATTCCTTCATAATTCAGTTCTGCTTTCTTCAGTGAGTACGTGATGGGGGGATCACAGTGGCTGAATCACATTGGAAGTGTGTAAAATTCAGGAACAGGGTCTAGACAAAGGAGAAGTGGTTTGAGGTAGACAAAGAAAGAATAAAAGAAAAAAAAAATCATGGTACAAAGTTAAGGTAAAAGGGTAATATTTTTCTGGGATAGCCTCATAAGGGAAAGAACAAATCCTGCAGCTTGGTGTCTCAAAGAAAAATTCATTAAAAAACACAAGTTGCTATTTCTAATTTAAAGTAATTCAAATCTTGCAATGGGATACTTTCCATTTATCTTCATATTTATGTTTTTTCATCTAAAAATTTAAAATAATTTTTTAAAATACTATTTTAATGAAAATTTATAAAAATTAGGTTGGCATATGCAAAGTGATTAACCTCCTGTAGGATGGAAAAATTTAACTTTTTCTTTTTCACTCAGCTTTCTGTGTCACCAGACTCCAGACATGGTCACTTTTTCAACTGTAACCTCTTTTTGAAGACCACATCATCAAATGAAAACACACAGTGTATAACAATCCCAAGGAAGAAGCAGATTTTTTCTACGCACAATCTAAAAATGAAATTTTTCAGTAGTGATGTTTGTTGAACTAAATGCAATTTTTAGCCTTTTTTTTTTTTTTTTAACTGAATGCAGTTTACCTTCGTTTTGTTACTGACTTGGTACTTTAGATCACAGACATTCTTCAGGAAAGTGACATATTGCTGTATATGAGGGACCTAAGGCCATGTTATTAGAAGATATTTCTCCTGTTTAGTTGAGAAGTCAAATTTTGTAATTTTGCCCTGCTAAGTTTTGCTGCAGAGTCGTGTCTCTTACAGTAAATGCTGCTTCAAGATAACTCTGGTGGACTCTCCTGAACTACTGACCTTTCAGACCTTAATGCCTCTTCAATCAAAACCCTTCTTTCCCTGCCAAAATCTGCACAATCTCAGATGTGTTGCAACGTGCCTTGTCACCATCTCTCCTCATTCTTGCTCCAGTTTGGATCAGCTGAGACCTGTGGCTTTGCCACTGCTGGGTGTAATGAGAAGAGCCTTCTTCATCTGGGGACTTTCAGTGGGGTTTAGCAGAATAAAAGTGTTTTAATTCCTGCCTGGTGAAGCCTGCTGTGGTGATAGGGGTGGAGGCAGCAAAATGCTTCATTCTGGGATTGATTTCTGGCTGAAATAAATGACCTTGTTGAAGCTGATTGTCACAGGACACGTTGGGTTCATCCAGCCATGCATCCCCTGCTTGTGAAAGCTCAGCAGCGTTGCAGTTCAGGACGTGAATAATGGGATAAATTCCTGCCCTTTTAAAATGTTATGGAAGCTGTTGCTTGTTGCCCATCTTCCTGCATGCCTGAGTGCCGCAGGGGACGCACTTCAGTGTCACTCAGGAGAATCCATGCTGGCTCCCTGCCAACTGCAACAGCTTCATTTATTCATTGGCAGTAACTTTTACACAAGTTACTGATCTATTTGCTGCTCTGGCCATTCTGAATATGAAAATTTTATATGGCTTTTTGTTTTAAAGAGTTGCTAAGCATGGCAACTGATATTTTATGTGCTGAAAGCAGTGAACAGAGTTGGGTGTTCCGAAACTAAGTCACTTAATTATTTAATTATGTGCATATTCTGTTCTTAGAATTAAAAATACTATAAAGCACTGGCAGACTTCAACCCTTAATCTATAAACTGTTCAGCAGTGACATAACAGTTGCTGTAATAACTTCAGTAATGCTGATGATACCTCAGTGCTTTTAGCATGGGATGAACTCTGTCCTGCTTACTCAGTAGATGGAACAGGGCATTTGAAAAAAATGCTCTTTTAAAGTGGCTCTGCAGCTTCCCTGGCACTGGAGGGAGTCCTGCAATGCCAAACTAGAAACTCCATCTGTATAAAGAACGGGATTAACTTTTTCAGTTAACCCTAGATTTGAATTAATTTTCAGTTTCCCTTATATTCTTTCAGAGCTCATAAACATGCATTAAATATGTTGCGGTCATAAGCTCACAAAATGTTAAATTGCCAGTAAATGGTGAATGAATAGTTGAGGTTAGTAATAAACATTATTAAAACCAATTGTAAGATTAAAATCCCATTTTTATGCCTTCAGACAAGCAGGGGCCTGCAGAGGGGCTTTAGGGGGCAACTTGTAGTGTGTGTAACATTACTGAGCCCTCTTTTCCTCTGAGCTTTCAACTTTGCCTTTGCCTTGGTGAGCACGGGATGAATGGATCGAAAAGTGTTTTGCACTGTTACTCTGGGAGAAAGACGAATACGTCATCTTTCCCTCATATTAGCAGATTTTACAGCCCTGTCCAAGGTACAGAATGGAAAGAAAAAAAGGGTTCAACCCATGTGATTCAGCAGGGAAACAAACTGCTGGGGTTCCAAAGGTGCTGTGCTCCACCTTCCAGGTCTTTCTCTTTTGCACAGGGGCTTGGGGCCACCTGAGCCCTCACTACCTGTCAGCAATGGCTGCATGACACTACTGGGGGACCTTGGAACTCCCATTTCCAGTCTGAGATGAACAAATTCACCATTCCAGGGGAAAGGATTAGCAGAGTTTGAATGGCAAAGGAATTCAATTCAGCTTCAAGGCTGGGGAGTTCTAGCAACCCTCCTGCCCCCATGGGAATTTGGACACAAAGACAAAACTGGACTCTCTCAGCTGACAAAAGATCAGGGAGACAAACCCAAGTGTAGCCAACATTTTCAGGCACGCTTGATAGTAAAAGCACAGCCCTGCCTTCCGTGGCTCTCCTGGGAGACGAGGGGTGCCGGAAGCGCCTGACGTGTTCTGCACAAGCAGTGACCGCGCTTTCCGTGACTCATTTCCTCGTCCTGCTGTCCCTGGCAGCCAGCCCGGGGTGCCGGCACACGCCGTGTCCCCAGTGGTGCCAGCACACGCCATGTCCCCAAAGGTGCCAGCACAGGCCGTGTCCCCAGTGGTGCCAGCACAGGCCGTGTCCCCAGTGGTGCCAGCACAGGCCGTGTCCCCAGAGGTGCCAGCACACGCCATGTCCCCAAAGGTGCCAGCACAGGCTGTGTCCCCAGTGGTGCCAGCACAGGCTGTGTCCCCAGAGGTGCCAGCACACACTGTGTCCTCAGTGGTGCCAGCACACACCGTGTCCCCAAAGGTGCCGGCACACACCGTGTCCCCAAAGCTGCCAGCACACACCATATCCCCAGTGGTGCCAGCACACGCCGTGTCCCCAGTGGTGCCAGCACAGGCCGTGTCCCCAGTGGTGCCAGCACAGGCTGTGTCCCCAGTGGTGCCAGCACACGCCATGTCCCCAAAGGTGCCAGCACAGGCTGTGTCCCCAGTGGTGCCAGCACAGGCTGTGTCCCCAGTGGTGCCAGCACACGCCATGTCCCCAAAGGTGCCAGCACAGGCTGTGTCCCCAGTGGTGCCAGCACAGGCTGTGTCCCCAGAGGTGCCAGCACACACTGTGTCCTCAGTGGTGCCAGCACACACCGTGTCCCCAAAGGTGCCAGCACAGGCTGTGTCCCCAAAGGTGCCAGCACACGCCGTGTCCCCAGTGGTGCCAGCACACGCCATGTCCCCAGTGGTGCCAGCACACGCCGTGTCCCCAAAGGTGCCAGCACAGGCCATGTCCCCAGTGGTGCCAGCACAGGCTGTGTCCCCAGAGGTGCCAGCACACACCGTGTCCTCAGTGGTGCCAGCACACGCCGTGTCCCCAGAGATGCCAGCACAGGCCGTGTCCCCAAAGGTGCCAGCACACGCTGTGTCCCCAGTGGTGCCAGCACACACCGTGTCCTCAGTGGTGCCAGCGCACACTGTGTTCCCAAAGGCACGGCTGCACCAGGTGTCTGTGCTCTGGAAGTGGCACGCAGAGGAAATGTCACTTTGTACCTCGGCACGTTTCAAGCTACAAATTTCACTGTTTCTAACCTTAGTTACAAACTCTCAGCTGAGACATCCCGAGTTTTGATGAACTGAACGTGTTACTGTACTTTGTGTTTGCAGAAAGCAAATACCGCAGGCTTCTGACATTTGCCTAGGATTTGGAAAAGGTGACAATGAGAGCAAGGCAGGAGTTCTGGACAGCAGGGCTGGACAGGAATGCCTCTTTCTTCTGCTGGGATTAGAGGGAAAATATACCCACAGAGCAAAGTTTACAAAGTTCCAATCAGCAGTGTAATGACTGAAATGCTCCCTTTGTGGAAGGAATGCTGTAAATATTCTTCAGACAAAATTCCCTCAAACCAACTTCATTGTAGTTCAAAGACTGAAAATTTTTCAGTCTTCATCAAAGACTGAAAATTTTTCGATGCATATTGTAAAATGTGAAATTTAATTAATCATAATAATTTTAAAAAGAGTCAAGCAAAAGAGGGGGACAGTCAGACTCCAGGATGTTTTCTAACCATACTATAAGCCCCCCACTGGTTGCATATGCAGAAGATGGAGTGAAAAACAAATAAAAAATAAATCTTGTGAAGTTTTTTTTTTCAAAAAGGTCATTGCAGGATTTAAAAGCACTCTGGTATTTTTTAATAATGAAGATCAGCTTTAATAGTTTAAAAAATGGGAATTCTGGAATATGCCTACTCCAGTTAAAACAGCAAAAGGAATTTGGCTAAAACTGAGCTACCTGCAAATTAATTGTGAACTCACAAATTTCCCTGTGTATCCAAGTTTAACTTTCCAGATCCACTTTGAAAGATTCAAAAGAGAAAAAGTTTTTGCTCCTTCTACTGAAATATGTCTGAGAAGCTCCTAAATTGCCTCCCACAGCACAGCTTGGATGCCAGAGCACAGCCAGCCTGGCTTAGAGCTCTGCTGGGTGGGATAAGCAGGCCCTGATGAGGGAAAAATGTATGGAATGAAGTTGCAACAGTTTTTGCTTTTTTCAGTCAAGGCGAGATTCCTGAGAATGTTGGGCAAATCCTGAAACGCCAAAAATCCTCCAGCTTCCCCAAACATCTACTTTATTAACACACACTTCTACAGACGCACTTCAGAGCTTAATGCCTCACTTCTAACACTGATTTTGAGCAGCTCAAAATTAGTTTTGCTGCTAATTTATAACTCATCCTCCTCACAGAACTAATGGATAGGTTATTTAATTTTGTGCATTTTTCTATTGCTCGTGCTGGAAAATTAGGCTTTTAAAGTGTCCCTTCCAGCACACAGATTACGGAGCAGGGCAGAGCACCTGGGCAGCACCCAGCCCTCCCCAGGCAGCTGTCTGGGGCAGCACTGCACCGAGCTGTGCTGCTCTCAACGCTTTTAAGTTCAGATCTTTCAGCATGGATAAAATCCATGCAAGTGTATGAAAGCCTACACCACTGAAAGCTCCAAAAATATTTTCTTAAAACACTGAACTGCAGCACACCCTTGAAAGGCAGCGTTTTCTGCTGCCGCAGGCACAGGCTCAGCTCTGTGCTGCAGCATCCACAGCAGCTTCCTCAGGAATGAGTCACTCCAAGAGCCGATGGCAGGGTGGTGACAGCACCGGGTTTGTGTGCAGCCCCTTCCAGACTGTGCCTTACACGCTGTGGCCAGCAGGCTCCATGACAAAGGGAAGAGGAAATCTGTAAGCAGCAGCCAGCGCAGGCTCATCAGTGAAAGTTATGCCTCAATCTACATGATATGAACGCTTTTTTTTCCCTTAAAATGGAGGGAACTTGGTGTAATTTTTAAAATGGCACATAAAGAGGTTCGTCTATATTTAAACACTTAAAAATGAGGGGAAGTGGCGATTCTGCCTCAATTCAAACCTTAAAAGTTCATTGCAGGATCTCATTTTAGAGGTCTACAACAGGAAGAGGATGGAAAACTCTAAACCTGAAGCTGCTGGTCTGATTTTACACGCAGCCTTCCAGTAGCCCAGAGAGGCAGGGCTTTGGTCCAGCCTGACAAGCACGCAGGTCTGAAGAGCCACCACTGTGTGTGTCAAGGACATTTGTATGTGACACTTGCTCTGAGGCACAGCAAGCCCTGAAGGGACACTGAGAGCTGGGAGCACCTCACAGGGCACTGGAGACAAAGCCCAGAGGACAGCTCAGCGCTAAAATCCTGTGTCACCTGCTCCCAACAGGAATCCCCACTGCTCCACCAGCTGGAAAAATGCCCTGTGAGCCACCCCTGCTTTGGTTGCAAAGGGGATGTGAGGGTGTAGTGCTTCTCAGTGAAAACTTAGAGCCAGAGCAAAGCTACAGCTTGGGTATCAATAGCTGAAAAAACTATGGATTGTGGTAAATGAGTGTAACTTTATTAAAAGATTCCAAATTCCAAATGGGAGGAGGATGAGATGCTGTGTAAGACAACAACCACTAAGCAATGGAGGAGCAAACACCATGAAGACCCCCAGACCTTATCAATAGTCTGAATTATTGCTGTTATAGGCATAACTGCCCAGGAATTTCAGCGTTCACAGTCCCTCTTTGGAGGCACCCAGCTCAAGCTGTGGTGCTTCCCTAAAGGAATCCATCCTTCAGGGTATGTGGAACCCTGTTACGGGGCCTGGCATGTGTAATTTCTGAACAGGTTTGTCAGGTGTTTATTATTTCTGGGGACAAAGGATGGGAGAGAGGGGGCATGTGGAGAAGGGAAAAAAAGGTACAAATACCTAGGGAAAATGCTATGTCTTTGTGAGTGAAAGACCAAAGAAAAGGTGGCAGGGTGCCATAGATTTTTTTTATGCTTTGTTTTTAAACACATACCAAAGGCTCCAAAATATAACTGTTTTAAATGCAAAACTGTGGCTTTTATTTCCAAACATACAATAAATAGGTCTACCACAACTAGCCTCTAACTTCATTTTACATGGAAGGATTTTAAAATTAATTTGTGCATATTTAAAAATTAAACTTCCCTTTGCACATAATTCCAAACATAACCGAACTGCATTACACACCAGCTCATAGTCTTGGCACTGTGACACAAGCAACCAATTAGAAACAGAGCTCTGTAGCCAGGACTTGTACAAAAATTGCATTTTGAATTGTTGATAAAAGATCTACCAACAATTAAATCTTTTGCTGCAGTATACAAAAAACTTTAGTACATAAATGTTGAAAAGCAAGTTGTCTTCTCTTCTGTTTCTGTAGAGACTGCAAGGTAAGTGGATTTATTAAGTGTTCACTATTTGCTATATGATACAATTTTCTTACCAAAATATCTTTACTGCATAGTAACATTCCATATTTTCAAATGCAAAAAGAGATTAGATGCAGTCTTTTTATTTTATCCCTCATCACTGAATTTAAAGACATTTTTAACCGCATCTCTGTTTCATCACAGTGCAGAAGGCCCTTAATATTTCAAGGATTTATTCAGTCATATTTTTAATACAAAAGTAGAGGCTGAGGAAAAGCCAGAGTAGTCTATACACAATGCACAATCTGTGTACATTCTGAAGCTGTACCTCTTCAAGAACTAGTTATACACTCTTCAAACAAATCCCTTTATCCAGCAATTCAAAATGCTTTAGATCAGATTTATATTAGAATCAATACAACATATGCATATAAATACATTTATACCCTTCAGTTGCTAAACAACCCAGATGGCTGCGAGGATGTGACCCGAAATGGTTCTCCATTGGCCTGGGATACCAAATTATGTCGGCAGCTAACTGTTAACCAAGAGAGTCACAGTAAAAAATGGAGATCTCTGCACAAGGTAGGTGTGCCACAGCATCAGTTAAGACCAGAAATACCAGGTGACACCCTGGCCCCTTCAACAGGGCCAGGATTTCAGCTTCTGTGAGATGCAACACACAGGCAACATTTTTTCCCCTCTGCCGACACTCCGTTCATAAAAAGTCTCAGCAGAACAACAAAAACCCAAAAAATACAACAAACCAAAGCAAAGGTTTTGCAACTGCAAGTTTCCAAGACAGGTGCTGCAGCTTTCAAGAACAAAGTTTTATAATTAAAAAAGAAGGAAAAAAAAAAAAACCAAAACAAAATCCAAACCGAAAAGCAATGTGCAAGTGTGAAACTCAGAAGACGATAGCAGGGATCGATCTAGACCTCGGTTCAGGCTGAAACAGAGAACCCAAACTGCCTGATGGAAAACCAGTTCTCACTGCAAATCTCACCTCCAGCTGAGCAGGACTTTTGTGTACCTGCATAAAAACACCCCTGCCCCACCCAGGACAGGCTGGGGCAGCAGCTCTGGGGCTCCAAAGCCCGGGTGGCCCCAGCCCTGGGAGGGACAGAGCCACCAGCACTGGCTCCCCACAGCCCCACGGGTGCTCCAGGGCTGTCACAGCACAGGGCGATGTGTTCTCAGCGTTCTCAGCTTGGCTTCTGAAAGGATGCAGAAATGTTGGCTGAGTATCCTCCAAAGGTGCTAGAGGTTTTAAGTTTGAAGCGTTTCTTCCCACAATGCCAGGTATAAAAATGTGTATCTCTTTAAATAATATTGCACATAAAAATCACCTTAAAATCTGTAGTGAAAGCAGGGTTTAAGGACAGTGTTTTCCAAAAGAGAATAAAAAGCTACCTGTACATAGTAAATTTTAATTTAAAGAACGCCAAGATTATTCAAAATCTAAGCACATAATACTGACAGAAAAATGTTAAATTGCACAATCTACATATAAATTAATTTGTAAATACTTAGAAGTTTTTAAACATTGAATACCCTTGATTTCACGAATCAGCTAGGTCACTGTCAAAGGATCAACTTATTGAGTTAGAAGTACTTTCCCCCAGAAAGAAACAGAAACAAAAAGATTTGCAGTCTCAGATGAAGCACTGGAAAGAGTTAAAGCATTTCAGCTCAGAGGTAGTGCTAAACACATCCAACTAGAAGTCCATTATATTTGAACTATGATGAAATAACATAGTAAAATGTAGAAAGACTATAAAATTTACAAAAATAAATAGTTCTGAATGCTTTAGAAAATGCAAGAGACTTTGTTGGTAAGTGTCTTGATCTGCTTTTCTGACCAAAAGAAAGCAAAGCGTGTCTCATTTTTAAAATATACCCATCTCTAAGAACGTGTCTGCAATCCACACAATCTAACTCTGCAACTTGACAGATGCCAGCTTGGCATAGACTCTGATATTAAAAATAAAGTGGAGGCTTTGTAAAAGATCACCTCATATGAAATTTGCTTTGCATGTAAATTCTTCTGTCAAATTAAAAATTGCACATAAAAAAGTTTATTGAAAGAGGCATGAGGGGTGATGGGGGTATGTGCCCATTGTTCCACATACACCCTGGAAGGAAAATGATGATTGCACAGTTCTGATAAATAATTTTTCTTTTTTAAAATCTGCCACTTTTTTGGTTTGCAAGTTTTGGAATTATTTAGAAAATTCTACTATGGACAAATTATTATTTAGTTTGCTTTTTAAAGAATTCTTTACAACTATTCCAGTGGCTTTTATCCTGAAACCAAATGCAAGTGGCAGTCTAAAAGTATCTTTGGGTAAAACAAGTATCAGGATCCAACGAGAATTTCCATGATGTGGTCCAACTCACTCAGATCTGTTCTGCATATCTGAATGTTGTTTGCTGAAGAAGAATTACAAGATGGGAAGGTTTTCAATGGTTCTTCTGTAGCAAGAGATGGTGATCTGGGTGGCATCAGGGGAGGGCAACAGAAGTCTGAATCATACATTGAAGTGTCAATATCTTCAAAAATGTCATCTATTGCCAAATCCTTCAAGTAACTGGTTGAATTTGAAATCTCAAAGGAACCAAACACACATTCAGCTCCCTTCAAATCCTGCCTGTCATCTTCTAGTTTCAGACCAGTATTATCTGGAAACTTTGGCTGGTCATCTGCAGTAGGAACCAGACAGGTAGGTGGGCTGATATCTTCCACAAAGTCCAAATCCTTCAGAATAGATGAAATAGCAGATGACATGTCGTCGTCTGAAACGATCAGCAGGCTGTTTTCAATGGGGTCCTCCACAGACCGCAGGTCACAGCAGTGGGACTCTTGCTGACCAACACCTGAAGGCAACTGAAGGGAAATGCCAGGTGACTCCATCCCTGTGTAGCTGTGAGAAGCAGGAGCAATGCCAGGGCAGATATTCACTGGCTGCTGGCTGCTCTCCTGCCTCATCTCCTCCTGGATCTGCCGCACGGTGTTGGCGATGAGCACGGAGCGGTGCAGGTTGGGCTCCACCAGCATTTTGTACGTCTGTAACTTGGTGAGGCACATGTTGAGCACCAGCTGCCTCTTGAGTGGGTAGGGCAGACCTCGACTGGAATCAAAGGCACTCGTGAGACCAGCCATGCTCTCCTCATAGTCACTCAGCTTGCGCTTTAGGCCTCTCCCCAACATGAACCTGCAAGACAACAATCCTGAATTAACCTTGGGCAGGCCCAACAGACAATTCTGAAAACCCTGTAGTGTACAATGTATTGGTTAGCTGAGACTTTTGATGTCACAGAACATCAAGAGATAGAAAGAAAGCCTACAGAATAGTACTTCCATTGAAAAGATGCACTTTCCAGCTATACTGTTTCATGGCAACAATTTTTCTAAACAGAAAACATGGAAGAAATATACTAATGCTCTTTTTAAAAAGCTGTAGACTTCTAAATATATCTGACTGTCCACGTGAAATAAAACAGGTGCTTGTATTAAGGATCAAACTACAGAATATTGCATAATTTCCGTTTCAACATTCATTCTTGGGTACAGCAGGTAAGATTTCAAGCTAGTTTTCAACACCCATTTTGATCTCATTAAGATGTTCTAATGTCTTGCTCAGTGTCTCTGACAACATGCATAGAGTTCTATGTAGGGCTGACTCTTCTCTTTTTTTCTTTGGTGACCCAAAATTGTTTTACAGCAACACCAACAGCAGGGCCTCCCATGGGATCCTTATATCTATTCCACATCTTGGTGGTTTGGTTAAATGCGGGAGGAAATCTGGCTGGGCCACTGAGCTCACAGAGAGACAATGGCTGCTCATGGCTGCTGGTTCACAACCTGCTACTGACTTCACACTAAGAACATCAGGCAAGAAGCTATCAAACAACGTTTTAGAAGTGACCAATTTTGGTAAAATTGTTAGAGAAAAAATATAATTTAGTTGCTTTCATTCTGCTTTGTGTGCTGTTGCACTGAAATACAGTAGGTCTAGAACAACGTGGTACAAAAACCTGTACACACAGATCTAAAATATAAGTGATCCAAACAAATACCTGCTTGGGTACTTTACAATTACCATCCCAAGTCTTAAGAGTTTTTTTAGGGATGACAAGCCCTTTGCAATCATTCATATAAACACAGAAAAGGAGCGTGCTCGGCAGAGAAAACACTGGTAAAATCTTAGTTACACACATCCTAAAGTGTCCATGAACACAGACACCTTGTTCCCAAACTATTAAGAAAAATTAAGCAATTATAAATTAGACACCAGTGGCAGATTAAGGGCAGACCCTTCACGCACAATGATCCAGACCCTGCACGCTGCTGAGGGCCTCCCAACTTCCTTTTCATGTGAGCACTGGATGCTGCCAGCAATAGCTCAGCTGATGGCTGCAGCTGCCAGCTGCTAGCCTGTTGCTAAACTTTTAGGGACAAGGAGAAGGCAGCAGGATAAAGCCTCTTTTACTTTCAGGATTTCTCCAGATTTGCAGGGCTCCATGGTTATGTCCATCTGCCCAGACAAGGCTGTTGGAGAACTCTTCCCCTCTGGAGGAACAGAAAGCAAGCAAGCACTGCATCCTCCTCAGCAAGACACACAAGAGAAAACAGACAGCTGCTACAGGACTTGAGGTGTCAGACTTCTCAACAGCAGACACTTTTTGGTTTTTTTAAGGACATATCTGGATGAAATTCAAGTTGTCCTAGGACTGCATTTTTACTTAGTCTGGTCTATCTTCAGTTCATTAACACAGTCACTCTTGAAACAGCAACAAACTTTAATTACTTGTAATCTTACCACTTCTGCAACTTTTTAACTTTGGAACTCTGTTTTTCTCAAAAACTTCTGCTAAAGTGCCACAGCAGGAGCTGAATCTCTTTAAAAACCATGAAGTGTCTGAAGTGGTGTGCCTGTTCACCTGGGTCATCATCCCACACTGATCATGTATCACTCTCCCACTCCAGCACCCCATTAAGAGCAAACAGACCCAGCCAGCACCGAGCACTCCATTACAACAAAATCAGAACAAATAGGGATACAAAGTTCAGGCACAAAATATAAAAGTACTCCGGGAAGGCAGCGTGTGTGTGAAGGATCCTCAATACTGTCAGTAACTGCTAATTTTTGACACAATCTATGGAAAAAAATCACATTTACGTGGGACAAGTAGACTACAGCTAAATATGCCGACTCTCATAGTGAAAACAATTTATGCAAATCATAAACTCACAGTAAAATTGTGAACTCGCCATTTCAACTAGTATTTAAATGTTGTGTATTACCTCAAGCATTACCTCACAGCATCATTGTAAGAAAAAAAATTATGCATCATAACAGCTGTTTCTTCACTAAGCACCATCATTCCCATACACTGCACACTAGTGGGGTTTGTTTGTTTTTCTCTCAATTAATTGAGCAGACCAAAATTTACACCCATAAGGGAATGAAGATATGACCACACAGGAAACAGCAATTCTGACATATCACACATTCAGAATGCTTGGTTTTGATAATTTACTGCTTTTAATATTTTTTAAATACACATTTATACTTTGTTAGACACACAGGACATACTATTCTTATCTTTTTGAATTACAAAAATGTTAATTCCTAACATCTCAAAAATGTGCTAGTATTTAAATTCTGTAAGCAAGCTAAAAGAGCAAGCAGACTATGATATGCAAGGATGTATAATTTCACAGAAACAACTTAATATGACATGTTTTACTTTTTAATTCGAATGGCAGTCTTGTTAGACTAAATACTTCATGCTCATATAGGCAGACACCCCTCTTTTCATTCCTCAAATTTCCTTCATAAAATTGGTCCCAGAGCAATTTAGAAGTATGTAACAAAGCTTGAGCATGACAGCACTTGACTATGAAAATGAAGTGCAATAAACACTATTTGCTCCAACTTCAAAATGTTTTTACTTAACATACTCCCTACTCCCAAGATGTGTTTTTAAAATAAACAAACATAGTACTACCTTATATTTTAGAAATTCTGTCTAACATGATTTATTTCCTAACAGGAGGGATCCCCTACTCTCCCTCCAGGAACTAGATGACTTCAGAGGTTACACAGAAATTTGAAAAGGCTAATAAAAACCAGAGTACCATTGGTAGAGTGGATTTAAAAATGACTAGTGTCATGGTTGCTACAGGAGACATTAAATTTCAGTTCTTGTCAAACACACTCAGCTGCTGACCTACAAAAGACACAAAGCCCCTTTGTTAGCAGCTAATCTACATTTTATCAGGCCTTTTGCTTTACTTTCTAACACCAGAATTTCTGATGGGATCAGATCCTTAACACTCTACTGTGTATTTTCTAAGTAGCTTGTTCTTCGCAGGGCTGGGTATTGACACCTCATCCCAAACCCAAAATTCACAGTCAGATGCTCTCTTTCACAGCACTACTTTGCAGCAGAAGACGCTGATGGCATTATTTAATTATGCAATGCTTATTCCACTTCAGTTTTTGGTAGCAAGGCAAACAAGCAGCCGTGCACACACAAACCCCCAGCTGCCTGCTCAGACCAGGAGCAGTGTCTGCCCTTCCATCGGCTGACACCAGGGCACAGCCAGCTCAGAGCAGCACAATCTGGGCACACTAAAGCAGTCTCCAGAAACTGCACTCTCCTTACTCCAGCCTAATTCCAGGAACCTACTCACATCTCAAAAAACTGGGTCAACTAACAGGATTTTGGGATGTGCCAATCTGATAACTCTGTAATTTGCAAGTAAATAAACTGAATAAAAATTAAAAGTTTATGCCAACTTCAAAGTGAGGTCTTCACATAGCTGTTCAATTATAAAAGCAACAAGCTCTAAGTCACCCTTTTCTTGAACTTGAAGTTCCACAACAAAAATTTTTTTCTGTTGAGATCTATTTTAAAATCTTCTGTCATGAAAAAAACAGGAACAATGAGGAGCAACACATCTCAACATTTTTCCTGGCATCTTCTCATTCTCTCTCATTATAGTAATGCAAACTGAGTCACAGGCCATTCACGGCAGAATGCTTTTTAAATGAAAGTAATTTTTCAGATATAGAGAAAAGGAAGCAAAGTGAACTCAGTATTTGGAGTGCCAGACTCTCTATTCACATCACTGAACTACAATGGAGTCTGCACAGAATTTCTGCCCTGATTGCATGTTCCTCAGATCCTTCCAGTCCTCCATGGAGGACATTTCATTGCAACTCCTCCCTGCTAAGATGGGAAGAAGCATCCAGGCACTGTAATCCTACACCATACCAGGGTTTGAAAAAAACTTGGGAGGGAAGAAGCACGTCCCTGGCTGGCAAATCCACACAATACCAAACAAACAGGCCTGGTCAGGGTGCAGCTACTCAGAAGAAACATTCCAGGCTACCAAGAAAAATCCACATTGCGACGTGTTGTGGACAATACAGGGCCCGTGCCACCATTTCAGCTCCATCTGTCACACGGTCTGACAGTGCAGCTGCCACTGACACATGGCTGGGAAGTACAGCTGGGAACACTCTCAAGGAATAAAGCAACATGTGAAAACCCTCAATTACTTCTATCTGGGCAAACTACTACTTAAAAACTTTTTTTGAATATAAGCAAGAACTAAAGAGAAAAGTTAAACAATGTTTAGAACTCAGGACATCACAGAACTTTAATTTTTAGTAGAGAAGAGCTTCTTATAAAACAATGAGTGTATGAAACATGACTGCCACGGTTAGTATTGTCTGAACACAAACTTCTCATGCATAAAAATGAGCACTGTATTAAACTACACAACAGTTATTTATTTACCACTAAATATGTTTAAATAGCAAGATCATCAATAAAGTACCTGGCCTTCACTATCCAGGTAGAAGATAAAGATAACTGAATTCATAGTGGCACCTTTTGTCTTTTCTTTTTAGAGTATTATTAAATTCAAACTTGGTTGATCCTTTCTGTACAGCCACACTGCTGTATTTTTCAGCCCAAGTCTGTCTCAAAGTGAAATACTACTTTTTCTTACAGAACGAAAATACCAGCTTTGCAGGTGTGTAAGCACCTCATGAATGATGAAAGCTGCCTGTCCAGTTTGCAGTAATGCAACTTATGTATTAAAATCAAAATTAAGAGACTCCTTGCTCTTGTAATTTGGGCAATTCCCTTTCAAAGTTTCCTTTGCCTTGTAACTGTAGAAACCATGTAGGAGTAAAGACAGACAGACTCTCTGGGCTGTAGACTTGTGTTAGTGACTGACCAAGACTGGCTGATAACCTGGGGCTCTGCTCTCCCCTTTCTTCATGGACACATCTCACAAGCACCCATCCATCTGCAGGAAGTGCTAAGGAAGACAAACACCCCAACAGTTACGGCTGTTCCCCAGATTTATTTGATGTATGCTGTACACTATTTTTAATGATAATCTTTCCCCTACCTGACACACATTTTTAGGCAACACAGCTTCACAAGCAGTTTAAATTAAGTGCTAGACTGGCTGTTGGCTTTTATTTAACGTAGAAGAAAGTACACAAGGAAGTGGAAAGGCTGAAGGTGCAGTTAACAGACACAGCACAAATCCCTTCCTCCCATCCAGGCTTAGTGCTGATCACTTGGACATGCCTTACATAACAGTGTAAGCTGTCAGAGCACACAGAACATCTCTGATCTGGGGTCCCCATCAGGTGCTGGAGATCCCCACACTACATCTTAGCTGCTACCCTGAGCAAGTGAGGGAAGGACTAAATGCCTTAGGAAACACCAAATGAAAAAAGCTTAGACCTGAATATACTTCCAAATACACAAAAGTGTGTTTAAGTCCATTGCCTCCCCACCCCCCTCAGCCCTGCCCCAGTTTAGCCAAGATGAGTAACTGCTGGAGAAGGCACAAGTGACTAAAAGTGTGCACACAGGGAGGAGTGCAGTCCTACCAGCTTACTCCCATACCTAAACTCTTATGCAATAACTTCTTCACAGGAGTCAGAAATAACCAGAAAATGGCTGCTCAAAGAAAGAAGACTTAATGTCAACTTTTCTGGTCAACAAATCCTGACCTATAACATGCCCACTGTCTGGTACAAAGCAACTGGAACACAGAATCAAGATATGTTCAGACTGTTCAGACTCAAGAAACGCCAACAAAAACAACAAACAAACACACACACACAAAACAACTCTGCAAACAAAACAGAAAAACCCCACACCTAAGGATTTCCCCACATTTTGAAAGTAAGACTAGCCTGAATAGCATTCATTAGGTACAGAAGAGGAATGAGAGGAAGACTGAGTTTACTACAGAATTATTCTGGGATTAATGAAGTTCCCACTGTCATTCACTATGTGTGGAAGTAGAAAATAAACCTGTATCATACACAAATATTTTAGGAGTTGAAATGATGTTTAGGAAGCCCTTGGAAATAAGTTTTACTTTTAAATAAAGGTTAGTCTGAAACCCTCCCACAACAACCTGTTTATGTTATGTCTACTGGGATCTGGAAAATTCCTGCACTTAAGGACATCTTTCTAAGTTCCTTACGCCCATTTCATTTCAGAAAGCACTGATAAGAGCTTTGCTTTACAAACTATGGCAGCTGAGTTTCAGACCATGGCATTTCACTCTGGAGAAGGAACTCCTCCGTTAGGATCTGTACCTTCCACAGCTAAAACAAGTGGGTTCCAGTGCTCAGTAGAGAAAAACTTCCATCCTTGAATAACCCCAAACTCAGCCACTATCACTCTTGTCTGTCACTTCTGTATCTTGTTCCACATTTATTAATAAATCTCATGTGTATATTTTCCATGGGAGTGTGTTTAGCAAGGTTTTTCAGGTATTCTGGGTGGATTTTTTTTTTTTAGTGGAAGAAGGGCCTGGAATCACTTAAACTAAGAACCAATACTAGTTGGCAAAAGCTAATACATGATCAAGAGTTACTAAACCTAGAAACTCCCATAGTAAAACCAAACTATAATTAAATGAGAAAATAAGACTCATAAAGGAAACAACAAGAACCAAACCACCATGGTTCCACCAAAGCATCTCACTGGAGAGACAAAGGATCATTAGAGCTGCAAAGGCAATGACAGACCTCTTCACAGCTTGTTCTAGTCAACTGCACAGCTCTCAATCCCACATTTGCTTCAAACAGAGATATTAGATGCATTCCCCAACACAGCACTGACACACATTTTAGGGCTACAGTGATCTAAAAGAGCTGCTAATAAAGGAAGTTACAGCTTATTAAATATTAAAAATTGGCATGCCATACTTTAACAGAAAAACTGGATCATTAACAGCAAAAGCAAACAAGAAAAAAAGCTATTTTCCTGATAGAGGAAAACTGTGCATTTTTTATTTCAGTAACCAAATCAGAAATCATTGAATTTTCTTTCTCTTGTAGTACACAACTTTACTTCAGTATCCAAAGTGCCACCTTCTCACAAGACAAAACTGCAATACTCAATTTTAGCAGCTGAACAGTGGATCTTACCATAAGACTGATATCTTAGTTAAGCAATTTCCAATAAGAATGTGATCTTAAGGTAATATGCTTTATTGCATTATAATAATTCCCCCTTATCAAGTTAAAAACAGTAAAGGAAATTCAGAACACTCAAACCAAAGTTTTTACCTCACTTTATATTATAAATATAAATTATGTTTATAATATAAATAATATTATCCCCTTTTTAAAAGATTTATTTCAGTTTACCATTCTAATCCACATATAACATCTGTAGTCCATTATCAGAATATGTCCTATGCATGTAAGATACAATTTCACAAAAACAAATAAGTAGTTACCCTTAGAAAACAGAAAGGAGTCCAGGCAGGAAGATTCTGGATTTTGCATAAAGCGTGGTCATCCAAGAGTCTTGAACTATCCCAGAGGCCAAGCCATCCACCAAGGTAGGATGATGCGACTTAAGAGGAAAAACAAAACAAAATCATTTAATTACTATGTGATGGTTTTTATATTTTTTTAACCAGAAGCATCAAGCAGAACAATTCAATACAACTTTTTAAAATTATTTGTGGTAAATTCTATTAAAGCAGAAAAATGTGGGTTAAGCCCCCTAAAATTCATGAATACACTGAGATAAGAGGACCTAACAGTTTTACCTGTGAACACATAAAATGTGGAAATTATCTTTTGTAAATGGGTACTGCAAAATGCTGATCCTCTAAGCATTAGGCTTTAGGATAAGGACATGCACTGCTACTTTCTCAGGTTACTGAACACCAATTTACAATTGCAATCATCTCCAAAATTACATAATCAGGAGAAAGAATACCATGCATTGTGAAGAACTACATTTCAGAATTATCCCCTAATGCTTACAGGCTGCAAAAGCAGTTAGATTTTTATTTAATTCCCCAACTTTCCTCTTTTTCAGCATACACACAACCAGTATGAGAAGAGAGTTGACAAGGTATGCTATGATTATGTCTAATGTTCAATGTGGCACCATTTCCATCAAACCCCTGATATAACAGCATCTGCAGTATGGCTAGAGACCACATGGATTAAATCATAGATTAGCTCAAGGCATTGCTAACCGGGAAGTGTGAAAAGGCTGAAGCGACAGTAAACTATGGGCTAGGCTAGGAAATGTGGAGGGAATCGCACGATCCATGCTCTTGAGGTCTCACCTCCACCTGGAGAACCAAACAGTTATGCATTCCAAGGATTAAAGCCCTCGCAGGGGCTAACAGCCTGCAGCCAGGATCGGATGTGACATGCCTGTTTGTGCACATCACACACACAGACACCTGAGCCAGCTACGGCAAACCGCCTCACAAATGCACCGCAGGAGCAAGGATCAGTACTGGCTGCACAAACACAGCCCTTCGTCATCAAAAACCAGGGGTTCATACATTATTGCACAAATCTTAAAATAATACATAGTGAAAGGCAGTCTTACATTCAGACAGACGGGCAAGTAAACGCCTACAGTTCATCTTACATAGCAACTCATAGCCTGATGCTACCAAAGGGCTCCTCCGCTTACAGAACCTCGGAACTGTAAAAATGCAGTAAAACAGCAGTAAAATGCCCGTGACCTCAGCAAGCCAAATCTAACCCCCAGCAACAAACACATTAACATCTCCCTCCTCCTCCTAGAAGCTGACTTCTTTCCCAGTATAATGATATCCATGCTATCTGTAAATAATTAGGAAAAAAAAAAAGCCCCAAATAAAGAGACAAATGAAGATTCATAACCTATTTGCTCTGAAACAGCAGGACTTCAGGTGGTCACTATTGAGGTTCATTAAAGTGTACTTGTTAGGTCACAGGGAGAGGTGTGCAGTCACTGCATTTTCTATACACTGAATATAAAAACACATGTTTTAGAGTTTTAGGATTCTTTAATGCTAAAACAACTTCACAAAGCTAACAAGCATAGTAAAATGATGAAAAGTTTTAGATTTCAGCACCTTAGCTAAAAATCCCCAAACCCAACACAATTAGAAGCACTGGATAAAAAAATAGTACTGTTACTTGTGTTTTAGAAGTCCAATATTTTGATAGAAGGAGATGAAGTCAAGAAGTTTTCAAATTTAATTTCTTTATTAGACACTTCAAAGGATTCCTGCAGAAGTAACTGTGGAGGTTTTGACTTTTGCCCAGTATGATTTCTGGGCACACTGGGTTAAGTGTCAGGAAGAAGTACAAAAGTAAGGTTGTTAGGTGTAATTTTTACAATCTGTTAGGGGAAAAAAAAACAACTGTAGAAGACACAGTAGCTGTAAATCACTATGAATTCTGTCTCTAGTGGATTATTTTCTGTCTTCCCTTCCCAAGACGTGTTTAGGGGGTCACACTAGAATTTTGAGATTACAGCATCATTTTAATGTTAATGGTATTTCCCACATAGCAGTTAACTACCTGAACTACGGAATTTCAGCCACATCAAAAATAAAGCGGAAAACTACTGCATAAAGGTTCCTACCTATGCTTTTAGAAACGAGCATTCCAACACAGTCCGAAAAATTCCAGGCCTAACTGGGGCAGAAATTATTAACTGCACCTATTTGCGAGCTTAATCTGCAATATGCATAGAGCCCAATCTTACGCTCCTCCAGCCCCATCCACCTGCTCGCAGCCCACACTAACACACGTTTACCAAGCCAAGCAAACCCCGCTGTTAAAAATGTAACTGCAGCTTACACGTAAGTCGCAACTACCGAGCGGCAGCGATCAGGAGCGCCAGGATGGAGCCGCTGGGATCCAGGGAAAGCCCTTTCCTGCCGCCCTCCCGCAGCCGCTCCCGCGGCTCCTGCCACCATTTGGCCTTTGTGGAAGGAGCGTCGGTGCTTCCTGCGGGCGTCCCGCCCCCCCCGCGGCCGTGGGCAGCGGTAACCAGAGACAACCTTGGGCTTCCCGAGCTGCGAAAAGTTACACTCCTCCCCCTTCCTCCGCCCGGCTCGCTCAGACCCCGGCCGGGCTAATTATAACTGCGCGAACAACTTCCACCGCCGGCCGCGCTCCGGGCGCTCCCCCCGCGCCCAGCCCGGCTCCCCGGGGCCGCCGTGCCCCCGGCCCCAGCCCGGCTCCGCCGTCTCTCCGCACCGCGCCGCCCCGGGNNCGTCCCCCCGCGACCGCCGCTACCCTCCCCCTGCCCCCGCTGCCAGCCCCGCGCCCTCCCGCCGCCTCCCGACCGGCGCCCCACCTGGGAGCAGAGGAAGCCCCGTTCCTTCGCAGCCGGCCGCGCTCCCTCCCTTCGGCGGGGCTGGGACTCGGGCCGGGAGGAGGCGGAGGCAGCGCCACCCCCGCCGGGCCCCGGCAGCCTCCGCTCCGCCCTTCCCTCCGCCCGCGGCTCCCGTGGGGGGGCGCTGCGTGTGCCGCGCGCGCCAGCTGCCCGCCCTCCCATTGGCCGGCGGCCCTTTCAACCTGCCCGGCAACCATTTTCTGACTGGTCGGTGAGCCTAGGGGGCGGGGCTACGGCTGGTCCCGCGGCGCCGCCCAATGAGCGAGCCGCGAGAGCTGGGGGGCGGGGCCGCGCTCCGGGCTCGCCCAATGGGGACGCGGGCGCCGCCGAGTCCCGCGTTCCCCGGCGCGGCGCTCCGGGGGCGGCCCCGCCCGCGCTGCCGGGATGGCGGAGCGGCCGCGCCGGGCCGGGCTCCGCACCGCGCTGGGCTGCTCAGCGCACAGCGCCGGGCTCCGCACCGCGCCGCTGCCGCGCTTTCAGCCTCGAAAGCATCGCGGAGCCACCGGCCAGCCCGCACCCAAGCCCGCAACCACCCCCGCCCCCCCCCCCCCTTTTTTTTTTTTGTATAAACTCGCAGTCCGTCTGTGACCAAAAGTACCAAATTTCAGTAAAAGGCACGCCCTGGGCCTCTACAGAGCAGCGTTCCTACGACGCCCCCGTGCCAGGCCTGTTGGGAAACGAGGCGCGCGCGTCTCCCGAGCAGCCCTAGAGCTACGTCAAACATTGCACAATTCTGTCATGAATATTCACTTGGGTTTGTTTTTTTTTTTTTTTCCTTCAAAGATGAGGTGGTTTTAGCCATGCTCAAACCTCATATTTGCTTTTCACGGGCATTTGCGTAATCAGGTTACATTGGCACGAGTGTTTGTGCAAACCAGATTTCAAAATCTGACATTGAAGTATTTGTGAAGATCGGTTTTCATCCTTTGTCAAACCCTGCCATGGGTTGGTTACCTGATGCATCCCCTAAAAGCTGCTTGATCTAAACCCATCTCTGGAAGAGCCAATCTCTAGGACATTAAAACCAAACAAAACTCAAGGACGTTTGCACAGACGGGTTCCTACATGGACAGCAAGCACAGACCAAGCTCACACACAATGTTCAATGTCGGTCTCATAAATACTACAGAAACATTTGCAATTTTCTGGTGGAGATAACACTACAACTTTGATGAAAGATCAGCTGCTTTTTGTGATTATTCAGCAAGGAGATTTTTTCTTTTAAACCCTCAGGTCCAACAGATTTTAACCCTTGTGTCTCCTGAGGGCACTCGTGAAGGGGTAGGAGTGTGCAGTGGGGGCAAAGGGCAGAGGGACAGAAATCCGGAGGTGACCCCCGCGGGTTCCTCACTGAGGATGGGGGATTGTCTCTCCAGGCCACCTCTGTCCTGCAGCAGGGTGCCCCGGGTTCCTCAGCCACAGCTGTGCTCTGACCTCACTGCTGGGGGTCACGGAGCACAGAAGGGGAGCGAGTGCTGCCATGAGAAGCGCTAATGAATCCTTTTTGACTGCTGCCGGAGCTGTGTCGCCTCCCCGAATGGCTGAGGGGTGACACCCCGACCCCCATGGTCCATCTGCTGCACCAAGAGTGAGTGCAGGACCAGTGTCAGCACCGAGGGGGAGGAGGGGACCAAATACCTCCCCCAGATGCCTTCCTTCCCACCACACACTGTGGGTTAAATGGAGGAGTAACTCTGAGATGTTCAGGATTCTTCTGTCTGCTGAAGTCAACCAGGGACAGCCAGGAGTATTGCACCAGGACCAACCCCTGCCATCTGCTGGGGATTATCTCCAAGGAACAGACACAGGACAGGCAAAGGGAGCTGGTGCAGAAGGGATGGATCTGGAATCATTATGTCTAATATGGAATATAAAGGGATAGTTTAACTAGCAGTACCACCAAAGTGTCCCCATAGCTTGAGCCAAGATTAGGCTTTGCAGACTTGATCCCTGCTGGCCAAAAGTCTGCAACCTCTGGGCAGCCCTGCAGCACCAGTACAGTCCTGGACAATTCTCCCCCTCCAGCTCAATGCTTGAGCCTCTGGTGCAGCCATTCTCCTCCAGTCCAGCAGACCTCCCAGAAAGACACCAACACTGGTCACCCTGCTCTCCTCACTCTTTCCTGAGTGATTAACCCAAGGTGGTCAGCTGTTCTGTAAGCAGTTCTGTGCAATAGAAAAGGGTGAATGTGCCTTCTATATGTTTCTAGAAAGTTCTGTTGTTTCAAACATTATCTGACATGAGCTACAGCAAAAAAGAAGCTGGAGTTGTTTAAGTGCGTGCATCAGAACTTTGGATTCATGGCTTCACACCTGAAGAAGTTAATAGAAATGACACAAAATATGGTGATTATTCGCAAAGGGTTTGGTCACTTTTTTGCTTGTGTTAACAGTGAGGTTCACATAAAAGAACTGGAACCTCGTTTAGCTTGGCAATATTTAATGTCTCGTGCTAGAGGAGCCATGCTTGTCTCACACAGTGAAGAATTCAGAGGGCTGAGCTCACATACAAGGTCTTTCTTGACAAAAGTCTTCCTTTCAAAGGTCCTTACATTCTCAAATGAGGTCATGTTCTACGAGTCTAATGCTCTCCCATTTTGACTTGAACTAAGCTTGAGGCAAACTAAGGACTGTATATGATTTTTTAAAGCTTTAAACATGGCCTTTCAGTATGACTGTACTCACTGCAGCAGGCCAGGATGCCATTCTCACGAGCAGCATATTTGCTTTTGCAGCAAATTTTACATAAACCAGAAAAAAAAACACAACATCCAAACCAATCAAGGTCTCTATATAATTCATCTGAAAGGAATGCTGGGGGTTTGCTACTTCTTCTTACCTTCATACTCGGCATCTATTAAAAAACACAGTTCCAGGAACACAAGCAGTAATGGAGACTGCTTTCCTATGGATTTATGCCTGTGATTAATTACTCTGTGTCTCAGGTACAAGCTCTAATTGAAGCTGGTCTCATGCCTGGAATCTTACATCTCTCCCTTATCTGGATTACTGGTTATCAGTACAGAATGCTGTTTTCTTCTGGTATCTCCACACTTGGAAACATTCTAAAAATGTAGTGACTGTGAGATCTCACGGATTTGATTGAAATGAATTAGCTGTTCTGAAGCTGAATGGCAGCTGAATGATCCCGTCATGCCACCCTTCCACAGGGAAGTGAGAAAGGCAGAGCACACTGCACTAAACCCTGGTTAGTTTTACCACCTCTTGGTGGTAAAGCCTCTGTGAACAAACTATTCCTACACCTACTCAAGTTTATTAGAAAAAGCCATGACACAAGATGGTTATTACAAAACCTAACAACACCTTACTGAATATTTCTCAGAGTAGGAAATTAGCCATTGTTCTCTTTTGTCAAGAGAATCACTATTTACAAGAAAAAGCACTTTCCCCCTATACCTTTCAAATGAAGCAGAGGCAAAAAAGCAAATGACAGTACCAAGCTTCAATTTAAACAATTAACCATTCAACAGTTTTGTCTTAAACTTCAGTCAGTTCACTGGACACAAAATAATCCAAACACCCGGTGCTTTCCATATCTAGCCTTCCTCTCAGTAATGATTTCAAACACAGAAAACTGAATTTGGTACAAGCACTGGCTTTTTTTCTTTTACATATTAAACTCTTTTGGTTTTTGAGTTTTTTATCAACATACCCACTCTTCCCTTTGTAAGTCCTGTTTTGTAAGCTTGCACAATTCCAGGCTGAAGGTGCATTACTTTTTCTTGATTTCCTCTCCAAATCTTGTCTGTAAATAGAACATGAAAAATAGTACATACTATTTCCTTTGCTGCAGCATTTTACTATTGCAGTACATCCTTGCACTTCCCACTCCATGGGAAGCTCCGTGGAGCTTCCAAATACAGCATATATGGGGATACAATTTCTGTTTAATTCTGGTTTTGAAAGCAGTCATGTAATCACCTGTACCTTCAATTACTCTTCCCTAAAAAGAAGACAGTTGAAATTACTCAAATGTTTCCCTAGCAATGCATAGCAGCCGCTGGCATTAGGTTTTCCTGTTGACATGTTTGTCATGCATGAACATTTGCCACAATAATTCTTCAGGTCATAAACCACTCATTTTGGGGGAATGTTGGCTAAGCAAATGAATAATTACTGGGTTTTTTTAAGAAAGAGTTCCCATACAAACTTATGAAAATCATGTCAAATAATGAAATTTCTGTATTTTTCACTAGCTTTTTTTTTTTTTTTTTTAAAGCACTACAAACATCTAAAATAAGTCTCTTTCCTGACAAATTATTTGATGGGATTTCACCTCTCCATGAAAATTCCTTGGAAAAAAGTAGGAAAACTTAACTGTCAATTTTTCAAGAGACACCAAAAAAAGTTCAGACAATCCTTGCAAAACCTTGTATTTAGTAAGCCAGATTGACAAAAATACATGTTCCCGAGAATGTTTATTTCATTTCTTTGAAACTTGGTGACTTTGTACTCTTAGTATTAGTCAGAGCATGAAATAACACTCATTTAAGAACTGATGAGCAAACAAAATTTGTCATCATCAGTCATGGGGTTTTTTGCATATGGGACTACATCCTAGGCCTGAGACACAAGTATATTTTCACTTTGAACAGAAGTAATTTTTGAAAGCATTTTTATTTGTCTTATCGTAGATGTCAGAAAGCAAATGTGTTGGGGTTTTTTTCATTCTAGCTTTTGACAGTTCATTTACTTGTAAGGGAATATGGAATAAGTTGCACGACTGTAAAGCAGTCACACAAATCAACATTCTGAGACACAAAAAAATCCATAATGGTCTGATAGTTACAATACTAAACTATACGCTCAGTCAATTTACAATAATGCCTTTTAAAATGCTCACTAAAGCAGCCCAGACATA